TGGTGATAGGCTTGGGTCTATTTTCAGTCTTTGAGACAACACCATTTTTCCAGCACCATTTATTAAAGAGGCTATCGTTCTTCCAGTGAGTTTGATTGGCCCCTTTATCAAAGATTAGGTGGCTGAGTGTGTGTTTGGTTGTGGCTGTTTCTTCCAGTCTGTTCCACTGATCCTCGGGTCTGTTTTTTAGCCAGTACCAGGTTGATTTTATTATAGTAGCTTTGTAGTATAATTTCAGGTCAGGGATTGTGATTCCACCTAACTTGTCCTTGTTGCCCAGGATTGCTTTTGCTATTCTGGGTCTCTTCTGGTTCCAGATGATACTTTATACATTTTAATTATTTTTGTATAAAGTAGACTCTAACCTTATTGTATTGTATTAATTTGCAAACCTCAAAGGACTTGGCACCTTTCCATTATCATAACAACCAGAGACTTCATCAGGGAAGAGGTCATCAGCTATAAAGCTTTTTGCCGATAGTTGGAGATGTTGCTTGGAAGGTCTTTTCTCTTTTTATTTTATGATATCTTCTTGAGCCTCATACTTTCAGGTCAGTATCTTAGCATGTGTTTTCCTCTCATGGGCTGAAGATCAACAGCTCAGATAAATTCTCACAAATATAAATCTTTGAAAACCTAGAGAAGCCAGACTTGGTGGTGCACACCTGTAATCCCAGCACTCAGGAGGCTGAGGCAAGAGGATCTCTGTGAGCGCGATGCCAGCCTAAAGTGCATAGTGAGGCCTTGTCTCAAAAAGACACACACAAAAATGTATGTCCTTATAGATGTGAAGACTTGTTATTGTTTCTCAGTTTAGAAATTTATCCTGGAACTCAGCCACCAAGTCCTTATTTGTTTTTGTTTTTGTTTTTGTCTTTTTGAGACAGGGTTTTGTTGTGCACTTCAGGCTGACCTTGAGCTCACTTTGTAGCCCAGGCTGGTCTTGAACTCACAACAGTCCTCCTGCCTCAGCCAGCCCTTATTTGTATAATAATAAAGCAAATAACATTATGAACAGACTTGTTGCTCCCATCTTCCAAACTAACTAGAATGTGATAGTCAACGTCTTCCAAACTGATCTTTTGTTTTTGTCTTTTTGAGACAGGGTCTCGCTATGCAGTGCAGGCTGGCCTTGAGCTCACTA